TCGCTAAAGGACATGGACGCGCCCCTCGGGGCAGACGCACTGGCCCACCCATGGCTGGTGGCCCAGGTGGCCCAAAGCCCCATGGCTGGCAGAGATAATCCCTCTGTTATACGCCGAGCCATGGCGCCTCCCCCCTCGCATGGACATACTGTCCCAAGCCAACGGGGAGATTTACCACCCCCACCCGGACAGGGTGGCTCTCTGGGCCTGGCCCGTGAGAGGACGAACCAAAATGCACTGGGCCTCCCGCCGCGTGTAATCGCCACTACTCAGAAGGCCAGGGCCGTTTCCACGCGATCCCTATATGGCTGTAAGTGGCAAGTGTTCGAAGGGTGGTATGATGGGCGTGGTTTCACATCTTATCAGTGCTCGGTGCCTGATATTTTGTGTTTCCTGCAAGACCTCATGGGAAGAGGCAGGTCCTTTTCCACTATTAAGGTCTACCTGGCTGCGATTTCAGCCTGTCATGTGGGTTTTGGGGCTCCACCGTCAGGCAGCACCCTCTAACCCGCAGATTTATGGAGGGTGCACGCCGCTCTTTGCTGGTCATCAGGAGATCTGTTGAATCTGTCCCAGGGGACCTCTCCATGGTGCTGGAAGCGCGGTCTCTGTATCCTTTTGAGCCTCTGGGGAGTATTTCTCTTAAGCTACTGTCCCTCAAGACAGCTTTGCTCTCGGCCTTGGCATCTGCTAAACGGGTCAGTGAGCTACATGCACTCTCGGTTCACCCCTCGTGCGCCAAATTCTCCCTAAGTGGAGATAAGGTTTTCCTTAAGCCTAACCCGGCCTTCATGCCGAAATGCTTCCCTGCGTTCACGTCGGAGGTTTTGGAGCTACCCGCTTTTCACCCTCCACCCTTTGCCTCCCCGGAGGATCAGGGGCTGAATGCTCTGTGTCCCGTCCGTGCTCTGCAAGCATAATGACCAGGACCAGTGCTTTCCGCAAGAGCGACCAGCTCTTTGTTTCAAGGGCTCCCCTGCAAAAGGGGAGTCCCATTTCAAAGCAATGCCTCTCACATTGGCTTGTGGACGCTATACTATGGCTTATGAAGCAAAGGGAGTGCAGCCCCAAGGGGCATCAGAGCTCATTCCACAAGGGGCTTAGCCGCCTCTTGGGCTTTGTTCAGGGGAGTGCCACTGCAGGAAATCTGCTCCGCGGCCAGCTGGGCCTCTCCTCATACCTTTGAGCGTTACTACCGGTTGGATGTCACCAGAACTTCGGTGGCACACTCGGTCATAGGGGTAGGGTCCTCTTAGCCCTTTCCCACAGCCCCGTTTGGTTAACCAACGAGGAGTGAATGGGCCGGCTGGCCATGTTCATTCCTGTCACCAAGCATTCGCATTCCTTCTTGGGTTTAGCTATGTGCATTGGTGGTGCGGGGGCCATTATCATGTATGTGTCTCATGCATGTTTCATGCCCTGCTTGTCCACAGCAGTTAGCGTGGCGGAAAACTATGAAGGTATTTTTGGTGCAAAACAACTGAACGCCTGTGACAGTGGATTTTGTAGTTGTAGAGAATAGCCACACATGTGTATCAGTAAATGTGAAGTCACAGAGATAAATTTTTTAAGAGTTGCACACTTGTAGACTTTTTTTTATCTTCCACAAACACAACACAACAGTTACACCTTCTCAAATTCTTCATTGCAGGTGCACAAATTCTATTCTACAAATCATAAATTAAGAAACTCGTGCGCTCACATTTTTGCTACAGTTGCTGCAGTGAATATGGTGCAAAACGCATTTACACACCCGCATCAAAAAATGTGAAGTCACAGAGAACTTTTGCTCATCTGCAAATCAGTATGTGAATTCATCCAATGAGAGTTGCACACTTGTAGAATCCTTTCTCACAAAGGTCTTGTATATTTTTCTAGCACAAACACAAGTACATAACTACAGCTGCTTGAATCTGCTGCAACGAATCACAAGCTCTGTTTTTCACTTTCAAGTGACAAGTTTCGTACGCTCCGCCTTTTGCACCAAGTGCACCGTGAAATGTGGTGCAAAAGTGAGTTGTGCATCTGTAGAGGCAGTGGGCGGAGCCTACATTAATATTCATGAGTTTCCCGGGCATGCGCGTGCAACTGCTCATTCTAGTTCACGCTCTTAATACCAAACATTAGAACAGTAGTAGGCTACACACCTTGCAATCAAAACATTCAAAATAATGTAACAATATTATTTTGAATGTTTTGATTGCAAGGTGTGTAGCCTACTACTGTTCAAATGTTTGGTATTAAGGCCAGTATGTATGTTTGTAAATATCTTTTTTAGAACATCAAATTAGTGGCTTATCATATTCCGTAAAATAATGTTGTGTTTTTCCCCCTCATTTACAGTAACCTAATTGTATCAAATGTAATTTATCCACTTTTGTCCATACAATTTTGTTTAATTAACAGTATTTTTCTCTTAGCCTACTTATATTCTATACCTGTTGAGTTCACATTTTTTAATGAATTTGACTAATAAAAAGTATTTCTTGTGTGCATTGGTGCTTTATTCCTGTCTTTTTAAAATAGTTGAATGAATGAATACTCGCGAGGTGCCTACGACCAGAACCATAGATCAGAACTGCACGCAGCGTAGAGGAGAATGACAGTCAACTTCTTTGAATATTAATTAAGCATTTTGGGCATGAACATGTAAATAGTAAAACGATTGACATTGAAAAATGACACTGAATGATTACAATATTTAATCCAAATAAATAAATGTTCGTGGTTCGTACTGATGTTATTCATCTGTTCTCACACATTTCAGCGTCGCGGTCACTAGTTTAGACGAACACTGACACCCTGTGGTAAAATAATGGCGTATTTTTAACAGCCCCAGCTTTCTCAGATTGGCTTGGATTGGATTAAACTTCATGTTCCGATGAGTTTTGAAAATTCTGCACACAGTAAACATCAGATCATCCCTTCTTCTGTCAATAAAAAAGTCCAAAATATAAAATATTATTATAGACACTTTTTTTAGTTGGCGTTTGTTCAACTCAATAAATAAAAACATGAACTTAACGAAACGATACACAATTGCAGTTTAAGTTCGCGCTGAAACTATATTTACCTTTTTTGAAATAATCCATTAAACCTGCTGAGAAACGAGGAGCGTGAACTAGAATGAGCAGTTGCACGCGCATGCCCGGGAAACTCATGAATATTAATGTAGGCTCCGCCCACTGCCTCTACAGATGCACAACTCACTTTTGCACCACATTTCACGGTGCACTTGGTGCAAAAGGCGGAGCGTACGAAACTTGTCACTTGAAAGTGAAAAACAGAGCTTGTGATTCGTTGCAGCAGATTCAAGCAGCTGTAGTTATGTACTTGTGTTTGTGCTAGAAAAATATACAAGACCTTTGTGAGAAAAGATTCTACAAGTGTGCAACTCTCATTGGATGAATTCACATAATGATTTGCAGATGAGCAAAAGTTCTCTGTGACTTCACATTTTTTGATGCGGGTGTGTAAATGCGTTTTGCACCATATTCACTGCAGCAACTGTAGCAAAAATGTGAGCGTACGAGTTTCTTAATTTGTGATTTGTAGAATAGAATTTGTGCACCTGCAATGAAGAATTTGAGAAGGTGTAACTGTTGTGTTGTGTTTGTGGAAGATAAAAAAAAGTCTACAAGTGTGCAACTCTTAAAAAAATTATCTCTGTGACTTCACATTTACTGATACACATGTGTGGCTATTCTCTACAACTACAAATTCCACTGTCACAGGCGTTCAGTTGTTTTGCACCAAAAATACCTTCATAGAAAACTTGCAGGGTCATGTTTGTGGGACGTGTCAGGCACCGCCTCTCTGAGGTGACCGTCCTTCTCTGGCCTTCAGAACCTCACTGTGAGTGTATTGGGCAATCGGGGAGCTGTCCATGTCTCTCCCATAGGTGGATCTCGAAACGAGATGATGATAGAGAACAATAGGTTATTGTCGTAACCCCGGTTCTCTGAAACATCGAGTGGAGAGATCCACCAGCTTTGCCCCGCTTGCCGCACGAGAAGCGAATATACTTACTGAGGAATAGCAGCGCGCCCAGCTGTGATATGCCCGTAGGTAAGGGGGTGTGGCCTCACCTGGCATTGGCTGCGCACTTCTGTCTGTTAGCCAGACTTGGTGCAATTGGATGCTTCTGCAGAGGTCAGGTACGGATGCCCTTCCCATAGGTGGATCTCTCCACTCGATGTTTCAGAGAACCGGGGTTACGACAGTAACCTATTGTTTTTTTTACTATATATACATTACTGTTTAAAAGTTTAGAGTCTGTAAGATTTTATGTTTTTAAAAGAAGTCTCTTAAGCTCACTAAGGCTCCATTTATTTGATCAAAATATATAAATTACAGTAATATTGTAAAATTATTACAATTAGAAATAACTATTTTCTATTTGAATTAGTGCTGTCAAATCAATTAATCGTGATTAATCCGTTCTAAATATGTTTATATATGTATGTATATGTTATTATTATTTGTGTATGTGTGCGCACAAACATACGTATGCATATATATATATACACACACATATATAAATATAATAATATATATACACATATTACTTAAACACTAACTTTTATTTTAGAATCGATTAATCGCGATTTGAATATATTTTAAAAAGTCATTTATTTCTGTGATATTTATTTATTATTTAAACCGTGAAAGTTCAAAAGAACTGCATTTATTTGAAATAGATCTTATATAATCTTATATAACATTATAAATGTCGTTTACTGTCTCTTTTGATTAATTGAATGCATCCTTGCTAAATGAAAGTTTTAATTTCTCTCAAAACATCTTACTGACCACAATCTTTTGAACAGTGGCATACATGTATGGCAACATGGTGTTTGTTCTTTCTGGTTTATATAACTCTAATAATCTAATCTCAACCACCTGTTCTTAAAACACTCAGGAAAGGGCAGAAAGGTAGAAATCGTGACAGCAAATACACTGAACTCAAGAGGACATAAAACATGTGGACTTGACCTCACCAGAGCATTGGAGGCCCTTTTAAACTTCCGGAGGACTACAGTCTGTTCTGCGCTGAGTCTCTTTCCTGCCGAATCCCTCTTCAGAAGTTTCCTGATCCTCGCCGTGGGCTTCCGCTTGGGCCGCACACGCACGTGATGATTTCCCAGTTGTCGCCACTGGAAACAGAAGTGGCAGATCACAGATTCCGGGAGGGCAGCGGCTGGAACGGTGGGAGAAACATAGATGAGGTTTTTAACATGGCAACTGGTTCAAATAAAACAGGTGATGCTATGCTCTATTCTGAGGACAGTTTGGCATTTTGGACTTTGGAAAACAGCTTTCCCAATATGTGGTCATCCTACCCCTGCTGTCGGGCCTTTGAGGTCTGTGAAGGCCATAGAAATGGATTCATGTTTTACATCAGGAAATGTGGTTGGACTTACTGGGTTTAACTTGGGATAACGTTCCTTTTCAAAACCAACTTTCTGTTCTGTTGCCTACAAGGTCTTATATAGACTTTGGGAGTATATTAAAAGCTCTTTACAATGACATACAAGTCTATTAATATAAATAACAAAGCTATAACTTACCGTTGCTCTGATGCCTTCTCCTGTAATAAAAAAGCAGTAAAAGAGTTAGTCTTTAAATCTCAGACTTTAAAAGAGTTACCCTGGAATATAGCAGCTTATGAATAATTTATAAGCTTGATAGAGGTCTTGCGCCCAATCCAGTTTTTTATATCTTATAGACCTTGTGCCCCACAAGTGCGCAACCATCTTTAAAATTTAGTTTTTGAACTTCCGTTTTTGCTGTAGCTCTGTATATTTCTATGGCATCGCTGTCGAAGAGTTATTAGCTGGTGATGAAGTGGATTTACTTATTGTTGAGTAAACTAAAGTTATCATGAGCATTGTAATGTTTGAAGCGGATTTCATAACAAATGTCAGTAGACTGGGAAGATTTTAAAGAATAGTTCACTTCATTTTTCTGACATAATTTACTCACCCTCAAGTTGTTTCAAACCTGTATGAATTTATTTCTTCTGCTGAACACAAAGAAAGATATTTGGAAGAATGTCAGTAACCAGACAGTTGTTGCACCCCATTGATTCCATAGTAGGAAAAAAAATATTATGGAAGTCAATGGGGTCCATCAACGGTTTGGTTACCGACATTCTTCAAAATATCTTCCTTTGTGTTCAGCAGAAGAAAGAAATTCATACAGGTTTGAAACAACTTGAGGGTGAGTAAATGATGACTGATTTTAAAATGAGCGGTTCATAAATCAGTAGGATCTTACCTTCATGCTGTGGAAATATAATCCGGAAGACAGAAAAAGGGGCGGGGCTTTAAGGTCTATAGATTCTAACATGCAAAGTGAAATCTCTGCAACAGACTATGAATAAAAAAACGTATTCTTCTGACCCAATGTTGCTGTCTTGTACAATATTCAATATCCCACCACATATGTATTTTCAGGAGACTAAGAATTACAATGTGATTCCTTAAAACACAAATACTGAGGTCAAAGTGCTGTACACACAGGCTGTCAATGGCCATGACTACCCTGGGGGCTTTAATTTCCCCTGAGACTTTGTGAGTGTGCATCCTATTTTTGGACACGGTGCTGTTCTTCCTACCTCATTTATATAATCTTCATAATCCTGTCTAAAATTAGTCCACATTGCTAAAAGCTGCCTCTTGTTATTGTGTGGCACGTGCATCTTAACGGGAGCATGGTTTTTTTTGTATTATTATTCTTATCAACCAATGTCCCATCCACAACTGTTTGTAATGCCACAGTGGATGTTTCACAGCATGCCATAGAGCCGGGGCCGACCTCTTGTTCCCAATGAGAACACATAGAGCTGTTATCTGGGTAGTGAAGAAGTGTGAGGGAAATAATTCCTGCCTGCCATGAAGTCTGACAAATGTCCTCCAAACACATTACAAACAGGGACACACTCATGTGTGTCAAAGACATTCTCTGTCGATTGTGTCCAGGCTTAAATGGATTTTCTTTTTCTTCATTTATTTTTGTTTCCCTTTTTAAATAAATGGATTCTTAAGGGTTTAACTATTGGCTTGTTTGTTACATTGTTTATTTGTATTATTTTAATATCTTTATTGGCTTTTTTGACTGAAAGTTGTACATGTGCAGAATTGGAAACATCCACCAGCAATTATTTGTTTATTTTAAAGCTTTTCTGAAATTTTCTGACATATTTATTTGCTTTTTTTTTTTTTTAATTCCATTGCTTTGTTTAATTGCATTAAAGCTTGTTTATTTTGAATTATTTAATTGATTTTCTACTCTAAGAACAAAACACCAAATACTCCTTTTATTTAATTGTTTGTTTTCTTTCATTTTAATGTTTCGTTTGACTTTATTTTCTTTCATTTGTTTGTTTCTATTATACCAGACCAGTGCAGTACGACTCTCCAGTAACCTGTGCAGACTCTCTAGATCAATAATTATTAAAAAAAAAAGTTGCACTTTTGCATTTGGATGGCTATAACACTATAACAGGTTCATTTAGAAAATGGGCGTGGCAAAATACACTCGAAAGCCTATAAATCCTAAACGAAAACTCAGAACTTCATAAAAATTGGTGAGCATATGAGACATTACATTCTGAACAGACATGCAATTTTTTATGGGGATCGGACCATAGGTGGTGCTATAACTTTCAAAAAGCTTTGAAAACCATATATTTCCTATGTTAAATTGCCTGAATTGGTTGTATATGGACTTTTCCATCTATGATGTCAGTGCTAAATCAAACTTAATGTCTTTTTACGCATGTGTGTTTAAAGGCCTTAAATACTTGAACCCCGATAAATGCTGCTTGCAGCTTTAATTTATAATTTTTATTATTATTTAAGAGTTTTGTTTCATTTGACTATTTTCATATTTGCCTTTTGAATTAAAAAAAAGTAAAAACCACCTTTTTTTTTATTAAAAAAAGTAAAAAACACCTTTTATTTTATTTTTTATTAAAAAAAGTAAAAACCACCTAGCACTGCCATTTACATGTAATATCACATGACTTCTTTCTGTGGTAATCTCATTAAAATAATTTACCTATTAATAATTCTAAATCAGCTTCTTTTAAGTGCTCTCAGAACCAAGATAAATAACCTTTTCAATTAATGTACTGTCTCAGCACGATTACATCAACAAAAACTAAACCCTACTCTAGCTAAATCACCTGTGATAAAAATCAAGAAAGAGAATAATACCCCCATTACAGTCCACTGATAACTCTAGCAGACACAGCTTATCCCTATATCAACGAGCCTGGCAGCAAAAGGCTGTGCCTTACGAAGACACCAGTGGAAGATACTGAGAGTGAACCTTACATTCAAAAGGGCTTAACTCAAGTGGTTTATAAATAAGAACATATCTCATGGCACGCATACTTTCAGACAACAGATTCCAGTAACTCACGTACATGCACGTCGTGAGTCAGTGCAGATGTACCCTGAACTCGACGAGCACAACAAGCCGACTAACACTCAAAACATGCAGTGCGCTAACCCTCCTGGCTTGGGACACATTTAATCTAAGAAAAACATGCCACAACCCTAGGCTAAACGTAATTTATCTTCACTCACTCTGCTGTGAGAACACGGTCAGTACTAGCCAATAAACCAGGTGATTCACAGCAGCTTGAGAAATTTAAATAAAGCAAGAATCTTCAGAAAATCTTGACTTTGACTTTTCACCATTAGTTTCCTAGCTTCTGTGTTACACCGAAGATATGGTTGTTGGTTTAGCTGCTCAGCAAAAAGTTAAAAAAAGGAATCTATATTGATGACACAAATTATTTACACTTATTATAACTGAAATGGTAGCACTGTTCAAAATGAAGTTTTATTTGATTGTTAGACTAAAACACAGATAAAAGAATTTGAGGTTCCATTTATGTGTCGGTTAATCAATATGGATTTTTCAATGAAGATCAGACATTCTCCATCCACTTTCAATATTAAAGGAACAAATGTTTATGGGATTAACAATAACTTTGGGATTAATTTTGGGATACACATGGGATTAACCTAACACACCGAACAAAAACTCTAAAATGACTAACACACTGTTTAGCTGATGAGATTTGAGTGCACGTGTTTATTTCATTACCTTGATGGTGCCGTAATACGAAAATAAGATGACTGGGACTGCACTTGTGCTTTTGAACACATCACTAACTGAACACTTGCATATCTGAGCTAGGGCTGGGCGATATGGCTGAAAACTGTATCACGATATCAGTGTTTCATATCGGTCGATATCGATAATTATTGATTTTTTTATGACCCATTTAAAATAAGGACCAGGAGAAAAAATATATTACATTTAAACATTTTTATTTTAAACTTACCCTTCCTCTGATTACAATCCCAAGACAGAAATGTCAACACAACCATGGAAAACTCAAATAATTAGAATGTAAACATAAGTCTAAATTCACAATCAGACCTGCAAACTCCTCAGAGTAAAAAAGGTGACAGTGGCGCGGCGGGACGGGGGTGGTGGGGGGTTGTGATCGTATGTGCCCCCTGCTTGATTTCTTTTTTGAGACATCACGGTTCGGTACGATTTCGGTACAATGGAGTAAAAAGCAAAACAGAAATATATTAGGCATTTTTATAAATGTCTTAAGCCTTGTATTTTTTAAATAAGTTTTATTAATAAAGGCATAGAACCAGTTTATTTATAGTGCACTGATAATAGTTTTATATAATTGGTTTATTAATTAAACTAATAAAAAGATAGATATGAGATATGTTTGGTAATTGTACCTGAATGAATTTAAAATTAATTTGCTATATTTCAGATCAATATATTTGTTTTCCTTAATTTTAATTAACCCTAACTTTATTCTCATCAGAATTATAAATAATTGATTTCCGTATAAAATAATCTCCCAACATATTTCACTTTCTTTTTTAATCAATGTGTAACTTAAAAATAAACAGATTAGTGCTCTGTTTTGAGGACAAGAAATGAAAACCAATGCGATATGATGAATAGGGGTGTGCCAAAAAATCGATTCACAGAAGAATCTAGATTCTCATTTGCAACGATTCAGAATTGATCTGAAATGTCCAAGAATCGATTTAATAAATAAATAAAATCAGCTGGCTGTTCGCCTCCATTTTTGTAACTATAGCCTATACGGGACGTCCGGACGTCATGCACGCAGCCGGTTTTTGAACGTGAGCGGCAAATCAAAGGAAGCAAATATGGATGCTTCTATGAAGCTTCTGATGCTTCTAAATATGATGCTTCTATCATTCTGCCGTGGCCGGCCGCCACACCTAAAATAATCCCGCCACGGCTGCAGCTTCTCAGTGAGGTCCGATATTAATGTGTATACCATTGTGTTATTGTTAAGCTAAAGGCATAAAAAACATTGTAAAGCACCATAAAGTGTTCGCACTATATTCCAAGACTTCTAAAGTCATTCAATAGCATAATGTGAGGTAAAAATGAATATTTAAGTCGTTAGTTAAAGTTAATAGAAACTCATCTCTCCTCAGTCATTCTCCATTCAGCATTCACACAGCGCGTCGCGTTATAGCGTTTTCTAAATCATAATCCTTTCTCCCGGGTGTCTGTTAGATTACAGCACTGGAGAGCGCTATGAATTGTTCTTCATGCGCACTGTAACTGAAATTTAAAACTGTTAAAAGAAAATGCTCAATAAACTGTTGCATATATATAATACATTAAGCATAGATAGACAGATATAATCTCTTCGCTTTGTGCTTTGAACTTTTCAATCCGGAGCGCTGCGCGCTGTGACTTCACGTTGCTTCAAGTGCATCATTCTGCGCACGGGATGCGCATAATCGCTTTGCCGCTCTTATTCGAGCCTTTCATGTTATTATGTTATAATGCTTAGGGGAGGTTTAAACGCCTGGGGTAAGGGGGCGTGGTCAATGGGAATATCACTCATGGGCCACGCCCCCTCCCCCTGGCGAAATGGGCCTGCCACCACAGCTGGAAAAAATCCTAGAGGAAACACTGGTCTCCGTTTGTCATTCTGACAACGATATGGCGCAACAAAACTGACACGTTACATGATTGCCTGAGCGTGTCACTCCCTACGTTGCTAGGTTACCAGAGAGCGCGTGCCTTTGATAATGCAACCAAACTTGCTTCGCAACCTGTGGTTTCTTACGACGAAGAAAAAAAATATCGAACGTTTTATCGAACACATTTTTTATTGATATCGATCACGTGTCTATCGCGATACATATCGTTATCGTTTTATCGCCCAGCCCTAATCTGAGCTAACCACAAGGTTTACTGAAAATTCACTGAAGAAATCACATAGAAAGCAACTATAAATCTCAATATGGAGTCATTCTTTAGTATCTAAAGAATAATTATCCAACAATGACATTAATGCAACTATTTAACAGGAAGTAATGGGGTTCACACTCACAGGTACTGCAATTTTTGCACTGTCTGCATAAACTGTGCTTTTAATTAGCAACCGTTTATTATCAAGTTAAAAAAGTGTGTCGTTTTAGGTTAAAACATATATACATAAATACATTTCAATTACCATTAAGATTTCAAAACAACGTTGCATAAATAATAATAATTATTATTATTAATTACTAAAAAATCAATAATGACTTATATTGCTATTATGATACTGTCACTGAAACACTGATCAATCATGCATATTATATTTGTATTGCTGTACTTTAATATACATTTTCAAAAAAGCAGAAAAACGGTTCTGCTTATCAGTTATCTGACATAAAAATAATCGGTAATGTAATGGTCATCATACAAACTAATATCTCTAAATGTCTTTAAATGTAACAGTGCGTTGTGAAGTGAAGATGAGTAGCCTGCCATCTTCTGTTGACTTCATGATATTACAGTAGAAAGCATAGCGGGGAGGAGGAGCATACAGTACAGCATGTTCAAAGTCCACGTATAAATATAAACAGTTGATGAAAACTGAACTTACATGAGAAACTTACATACTACTTACATGAGAAAGCGCGACTGTTCGGGGCAAATATCTTTGTAAAGAAGAGAAGCCTTGATTAAAAACCTCGTTTTTTGGTCTTCGCGTTTGCTTTTACAGCCAACCATTTTTGATAACAGTCCAGCGTCCAAACTAAATGCTACCTTATTAGATAGTTGTGGCGTATAATAAAAGAATGTGGATTTTTTTATTATGTTTTCTCGGTCCAGCGTGACTACAGGAAACACCCGAGTCTTTACTTTAAAATTACCCACAATGCCGCAATGCGGGTGAGGAATTATGGGAGTGCGAGTTTTTTTTTAGCGACGCGTAGCCTACTGTGCACTGGTCATCTGGGATTTACTGCTCCAATAAAGCCCTAATAACAAGATGCAATGTCTTTTACGTACACTGTAGCTATTGCTAAGGGATAGGCTATTTAATCCAGTGCTATAGCCTACATTTTTAATTTACATCAACACACCAGCACTCTATCGTTTTAGTGTTCAGGATTTTTCTACTGCAGATCATCATAGGGTCAATAGCCTAATATATAGGCTGGCTATATATATATATATATAGTAACACTTTAAGGTAGGGTACACGTTACTATAGTTACTTACTATGCCTATAACAGTAGCCTACCTAAATTATGAATAATTAGCCTACAAGTAGGCCTATACTAACCCTAAACCAAACCCTAACCTAACCGTAACTCTGTAGCCTACATGTTAATTAATATTATTCAGTAAGTAGGCCTAACACTATACGTCACCTTAAAATAAAGGGTTAGACTTAATTTTAAGGTGTCATTGTTATGTGTAATTAGCCTATATATTTAAGTACTGAGAATATTAATTAACAACATGTATAGGGTATAGGATTAAGATTTGGTTGAGGGTTAGTTGCATGTAATTATACATGAATTACTGTAATTACAATGGTAAGTACCTGTAACATGTAACATGAAAACTGAAAAATAAAGTGTTACCTTTGTCTGCCAAAGCTATTTAGTTGCAAGAATCTATAATAAAATCACAGTAAAATATATAGGCTATATTTTTAGCAGCAGAGATTACAGGGACATATCAAGGTCAAGATCTTATAATAATAACCATAATAATAATAATAATAATGAATTATTTTAATCTTAATAATAATATTTAATATGACATTAATATAATTATTATGAATAGTAACCTATTGTAATAGCATTCTTATCATTATTAATTGTCTGCATTTATTACAAATAATAGGCTAATATTAATATATATATATAATAGTAGCTATAATATAATATAATATGCCTATTATATAATATATTATATAATTATTGTTGCCATTAGCTTAGCAATATGATTATCATTTGTCAAAAATAAACTAAGATAGATTTAAGATTTCAAGATTCGGTTTTGACAGAAAGCAAGACTGATTGTTTGTTTTTCCCGCAATTACTGTCGAGGGACTTAAATACCACATTTAGCATTACAAGAGAGACTCCTCCTGGACCGTTCGCTGCGTCTCTTCTCACAGATCACAGGAACTCATCATCACACGGACTCGATGCCCGAGGCGCTGCGTCGTTGAAATGGATATTTAAGGCAGCGGAGAAAGCAGTTCACGTTCACTCTCAGCGGGCGCGCGGCCAGAGAGGCGGAGGGGTGTAGGCGCGCGCTCTGTCACTGCCTGAACAAATAAAATGAGACTTGTGTTGTGAACGAGGCTTCTGAATACGTGACCGGGAAGAGTACAAGGTAGTGATTGAGCTCTCGTTTTTAGAGGAGGACGGAAGATGACCGCGAGCGCTCACTTCAGCGCGCGCGTTACCAGTGCGTCACCTTTCAGAAGAGCGCGTGTCGCTGAACTCCAGCTGCAGGTAGATGCACTTTTTATCGTTACTAAACATTTTATTTGTTTTGCCACAAACTGCAGGTTATTTTCCTCTTGCGAACAGCCGCGTGTTTTTATCACCACCACCATTTCTTAAATTATTCTTTCTGAATGTTTGTAACAAGCCATGGCTGTTATTTATGTATATGGCTGCAACAAGCAAACGTTTTCCATTCATTTGCAGCAAAATGGTTCCTTTTGTAGCTTAATTTCTCAATTCACTTCAACCCAGAATAGATAGACATTAGATTTATGTATTTAGGCTACTTCATGATTATCCTGCTGTCCTTGAACATATTATTTGCATATGATGCAGACATTTGGGAGGGACATTCTTGACTTTGCTTATTGGAGCTCAAAATGTTGCATGTCAGTGTCATTGAATGCGAAACTATATGCAAGAGGGTTTGTGCCCCCTAATGTTGTTCTGGCTCACCTTTTTAAGTGAAGGAACCCGCTTGTGTTGGCGAATAAAGCCTTTGCCCTTTCACAGGTCCAAAGTCTTGAGGGGGATGAAGCGTGCTGTCAGCATACTGGAAACGCTAAACTGGCTTGTAGGAGGCAGAGAGCTGAGTGAGTCTCTCAACGAATAGGTAATGCAACACCAACTCTGATTGTGCTGAGACCTGCAAATGGAGGTGCAGAGGTCCGTGTGAGCCACTCTGTTAAAACTTGCAGTCCTCTTATAGTTCTATCACTGCACCCAAATGTAGATGTAAAGCATATACACACATTTGCAGTCACGAAATGACAGATGGATATAAAAACAGGGAGTGAATTGGCACCGTTTTACTTGTCATATATCATGCAGAAGCATTTTAAAAAGCCTCTATTTTTTACATAGTGATGTTCCTTCCTCATTTACTTTTAACAATGAAGAAAATGTAGTATAAACAATTCATTAAGCCCTGGCTTTTCATCCGTATTGAAATTTGATCCTCCAATCTGTCAGCAGGACAAAAATAGATGTCAGCATTAAAGCTAGTGTGGAAAGATCATTTCTTTCCAGAATAGTTTTTGGAACAGACTTTAAAAAAATTAAAACGTTTTTCTGAAGAGAATTATTATAAGACTGTAAAAAAAAACTCTCCCAGTAGCTGTGGTTCACTGTAAAAAGAACCGTGGTGCTTCTGGCTGTTAGCCACAAAGACAAACACATCATCAGGTTAATACACATCACTAAAATTATGCAATAAACAGTATAGCTACATCCGAAATGTAACACAAAACTCACAAAAAAAAATAGCATTAATATTTAATATTGAAATCAGTTAAAGTTCTCTTACTTTTTAATAATACTTTACTGTAAAAGTACATATATTGTCTTGATAATTAAAATAATAAAAGTTTTTAGATTTGTTGTTGTTGTATATTTAGCGTGAATTCAGGTTGATTGGGACATTTTTTGCCATTGAGACGACTGGGAAAAAGTGCCCCAAACAACCTAAATCCACCCTGAAAAAGAAAACGGACAGGAAGCAAAATGAGAGGAAGGATTGAAAAGGACCTCGAACTGAGACTCGAACTCGGGAACGCAACTGCAGGATATGTGTGTCACAGTCATGTTCAGTTTGTATTAGTTTTCATGGTCATTCAGGGGCTGTTTACAAAACACCGTTTTCAACTAAAAACGTAAAACTTTTTATCCGTTTTGGCCGTTCATTTACACGACAACGGCGTTTTGGGTGCCTGAAAACGCGAACTTTTGAAAACGGGTTTCAAAGAGCAAGTTTTTGAAAATGGTCTCCGTGCAAACAACAAAAAACGTGAATCTCTGAAAACGATGACGTCATACATGCATATTACATGTTTCATCGCCATCTAATGGCCTGTCATCAGAAAACAACGTTTTTAATCGTTTTCGCGGATCCGTGTGAATGATGATCATTTTGACAATGACGTATACGCGGAAAACTCAAAGGAAAAACTCAACCAAAAAAAGGTGTAATGGGTTTCTGAAAAGGGAAACACCACTCATGATATTGTTGTCATTTTCCTCTTACTCAAGTAGACTCTTAAAAACCACTAGTATATTCCTGAGGAAGGTAATTTTTACGGTATACGCCGCAGCAAGCGAAACCTATTAAACCCCATCAAAATCGCTTTCAACCATTCTCGAATCATATGAGATGGAGTGTAGCAGGTTGCCCAGCATAATCAGTTTGTAGCGGATACAGATGTCACCTTGGCTCTACAGAAATAAGATGCAAGAACTATGGTGCCAAATATGCTTATTTTCCAAATCTAAACTTGATCATAATTCATAATATCAGCTAAACAAGCAAAGCAAGATCTGACAAAGCGTTCCAACACATCGTGTTATTTCTCAGCGTTTCATTGAGCTTCTGTGATCAAATCGATTTAATAAGCCCCTTTTTCTATGATTAAAACAGAATGTGTCCAGAGTGGCTCCCCGTGTTCTCCCCAGACTATATGCTTCCCCTGGCCCGATTGTTCATAGATCTGATAGAAGTGCAGTTCCTGTCACTAGACATTGCAGGATGGCTGAGCCTGGTACAGAAGAAGGATGTTTGTTGGGCTGTGGATTGCAGTGGGCTTGTTAAAAACTGGACATCCATTGTTTCGCACACAGGAAGAACTGTGTTGTGGGACCAAGCACAATGGACCCTCATTCTGACCCCAAGGTCATTGCCCACACTTTCGGGCACAGCTCCGCGTCAGCTTTATAATACAGGAAAGGGTCTTTAAAGCACGTCTCCGCACAGTCATTCACATTGATTTCGTCCTAAACGCTTCTCTGTGGGATTTGGCTATTGTTTTGGTGCGTACAGTACACCATTGTGGTCTTTGAAGGAGACAATAGGCATTTACAAGGCTGAACACGTATGTGTTTCATTCTGTGGCTGTGCCGCCATTGTGTAAGTGGTTCTAATTAGCTTACATCAATTCTTTAATTACAATTTTCATTAATCGCCCGCAGCTCCCTCAGCAAACCACGAAGACCCATTTAAATCCATTTCATTGAGGCACTGATAAAAAGCAATTCAGGTAAGTATAGGAATAAATGCTTAAATAGATGGCCTACTTTTTCTTAAAATAACTCTGCTTTATGGTGTGACACAAGTATGATTTCAATTCACTAATTCACTCTTTGACATTTCCTATTTCCTGTGTGTCATAATTCACACTCAGATCAACTCAAGCACCATCCCTGTTTGTTTTTTTTCTTCTTTTTTTTTCATTTTAGAGTCCTTTTCCCTCTACAATGCCAGACCACGTATCACAGAGCACATCCGAACTCTCAGGTCCGTATTATCTGATCGAGTCCAGACTGAATTTCACCATTTTGTCAGCACGTACGTTTTTCC